GCTATCATATGAATTGTTGAATAAATTCCATAATGTTCAAATCAAACATTTTAAATTCTTGACACTTAGTTAACAAAGGTCTCTAATCTACGTTTAGATCACTGGCCTCGAGAACAACTGCTGTATGACAGCAATGTGTGAATATCACAAAATTAAATTCAACATAAATGTACATACTTTACACTACATGGTCAAATATTATGTAAACATTAAAGAGTGATTCATGAAGTGGGGTAATTTTAGTGATTTCATGTTCAGTCAGCAAATTTGCAGTTACAACTGTATCGTTATTTAATTTTACTAATACTTTTACAATATAACATTTAATTTTGAGTATCTCTGACTGAAATACCAGCGCTGAATCTATTTCTTATTCCAGTATGCTTCCATTTACTTCTTGTTTATCAATGAGGTCTATCAAAATCGAGTTATGATTTCATTTTCATTCTTTCTCAATAGAACTACCAAAATTAGAGCTAAATCTATTTAAATAATGTACTGTCTACCTTGTTATGTAGGAGAATATAGACAATCTTCAAACAAACATAATATATGGTTTTAATAATAAGTGAGACAATAGTGACAAGTGGAAAAGGCATCCACAGTTTCAGAAACTGTGCTGGAGTTCTTATGCACTGTGAATGTTTCTTTCCATTAATACAATAGTTGAATACTGACAACTAGAATTTGAGTTCAACAAAATGCTAATTTGAGTAACATACAAAAGATGAATTAATTCAATCACTGCAGATGAGAATCAACTAAGTGGAATCATATCTTATACTTACATATTGCAATTATATTCATTGTACACTGTCGAATTACGAGTCATACTTTGATTTCTCAGTTTTTGAAAGTCTCGGAGTCACTCATGAGGCAACCACTTTTAGTTTTACCATATTTTACGCCCAAATATCTGTGGTGTCAAAGTATTTATTTGTCACTGTACAGTAACTTTATCATGGTGCCTCTGGTCCCAGATGGATGAAGTCGGCTTCAGCAGAGAGTGTCACAATTGACTGCCCACAGTACATGAAATGTGTCTACCTCTCCGCCTGCTAAATTATAGTAGTTTCAGGCTCGCGGCGGGCTGGAGTACGTTTTCTGAGATACGTCACAAATCTCTTATGCCAAACAAGATGTTTTCTCAAGCGGCATTAGAGGTGAACCAAGTCTCCACACCTTAAACATAACTATGTTATTACATTATTCACTTATTACCATGTAATGGATGGTAATTTTTGAACCAGGTATGTCATATTACCTGTTGCTAAAAGCCCAAACTTGAGTTGTTACAATGGAAATGTACATTTAGTTGGCACATACATTACGTACAATTTGTGTAGTTGTGTACAACCTATTGTTTACTATTGCAGAGCGTTCGTAGTATGTTGTTGCAACTAACTTTGAACATCTATGATATGTATTCTAAATATTTACTTCGACGAGGACGGAACATAACTACATGATCAAACGTACTTACCTGTAAGTGATGTTCGATCTTAATTATGTTAGTCCTCGTCGAAGTAAATAGCTCATTAGCTCCCTATATATCACCCAATTGTTGCAACAACTTGGCTTTGAAGAAAATGAATGTTTACAGGCGGCCAGAGGGGAGGAAGGTAGGGGGAACGGGCGCGGTGCCGCTTTCTTTCGCTGCGTGCGCGCTTTGAAATCGTGGGGTTTGGTACAACTAACGTGGGTACTACGATATGTATTCTAAATATTTACTTCGACGAGGATTTCACATAATTAAGATCGAACATCACTTACAGGTAAGTTCGTTTGATCATGTAATTATGGTCATTCATTGATTAACGTGTTTTACCTGTAAATAGGCAATACTATATTCCCGCGTCCAAGAAATTATCTGATTTGAAATGAGTAATCAATGACATGTTGTCACAGCTTTGTTTCTCCTCACTGCGCTAACTAAAAACTTTAGATGGCACTGTATTAACATATAGCACGGCAGTATAGTATTAGGTTTGCTATCTTCAGGTAGAATACATTAATCAATGGTACGATATACGGTTTGTGACAGATTTTTGGCATTTACTTCCTGTCGACACCCGCAGGGGAATTATGTAACCCCGCTCCCAATAAAAGAATAAACGTAAAAAAACTAAAAAATCTTGCAGACTAGGTATTTTTTAGTATGCAAATAGTTTATTCATTCCATGTTTACTCGCTATGATCGCTGTGAGTGTCATTAATAGCATCCCTCTATGGAGGAATGACTCAACGATACGACACGCTCAAGCATGTGTTGTTGGTTGCAGAGAACCAGCTAGTGTTTATCTCCGAGAAGAGTGTGAGAAAATCGTTACTGAATATGCTGCCAACGAAGTATATCCATTAGCTGTGCCCGACAGGTCATTTATATGTTGTTATTTCTGAAGAAAGGTTATGTTCAAAGTTATAAATTACGATTTTTTACGTTTTTTTGTATTTTCAAAACTTGCAAATTTGTATATGTAATTTACAGAATGGATAAAAAAAAGTTGATGCGCAACTAAGTTCTAGCTTTGGAATTATCATCAGCACATATTATTAGCACACAAATCCGTACTATGCTCCTATGCATTGTTGTTACCTCCAGTAATGCCATCTTTGAAGGAGATTATACATCACATCAGAACCTAACATTGATAAACGAAGCCTCATGACGTTTAGGCAACACGTACAACTACAAAACAAGTTCACAACGTGTTCAGCAGCTAGTGCTAAGTTAACATCTTGTACAAAAACTTACATAATGTCACAAAAAACAATATAATGTCAAAAAACTGAGATAATGTCACTTTTCAAGATACGTAATGCCCAGTTGACCTGAATTATCATTTTATCACATATACAGGGTGGCCCATACTTCGTGGATGGAGCTTTCCTCCAAGAAAACTTTTGTCAGTCTTATCTTACCGACTACAGATTACAGAGGGTTGGCTTGCTAGCCTCAACGTTACTGCGACCCAAATGGATCTGTTGTGACCTCCATATATACTTTTATAAGCACTGTGTCCAGCCTTGATCCTTTAATCTGACTTGCATGTAACTTTCCGCTATTGGACCTGCAGTTCCTACTATCTGAAACCGTAGCCTTGCCAAGACTTCACAGTGACACAGGAGATGCACTGCTCTCTGCAGAAACGGCATGTGGCCTCTTCTGCCAGACTCAAGAGTCTTATATGTCGATTTAGACAACAGTGTCCTCTCAGAAGACCCTCTTGTGACCTTCCTATTGAATCCGAGTAGGTCATCTGTAAATGCGGACCTTAGTTCTTTGATGAACTCTTTTGCTTGCCTTTCCCCAATTGGCTGTTCCACCATTCTACCATTCTATATAGATTCTTGGTCCAATTTTTTATGGACTGTTTAGTGCGTGTTCTCGCCATGCCACAGACATGCTCTGGACCTAAAGAATATTGGCCGCAGCTTGTCATGCTAGCTCATCCGCCTCTTCATTTCTTTTGTGCCTTCATGTCCTGGTAGCCAGAGCAATGTTACCTTGTTTCGGTATCCCAGCCATTGAGAGTGTTCACGCAATTCCATACTAGCTTGGACGATATTTGCGATGAACTAAATGGCTTTATGACTGTCTGAGCAGATGGCGATCGACTGATTTCGCATTCCTTATTAGCTCTTTTGCGTGGACTTATATGTCTGTTACTTCAGCCTCAAATATTTTTCCAATATTACATAGATTTATAGAGATCTCAGTATTTGGCCTTGCCCCACAAGTCTCAGCTAAGCTGTGTGTCTACCAGTAGCTTTAGACGTGTATAGGAGATCCTTTCTCCCACGCCTTCCTTTCTGGTACTATTGTTTGATAGTTTTTATCGAAATACCACATTCGCAGAATCATAAAAACATTTCTGACGCAATGGCTATAGTAAACAGCTCACCTTTCTTCACACTTTTGGCTCCAACCTCCACCCCCCCCTATGAGTTCCTTCCTGTTTCTACGAAAATAGCGCGGTGAGTTACTATATGTCTCACTCCCGACTAACGTATCCACGCCTTAAAATCAAACGAGTTTGACACCAGTTGTAGGCAAGCTCACGACACCTCCTTTAGACAGAGGAAATTCTACGAAGGGCAGAATCATGTATGGGTGCCACGCTTTATGAGAATGTAGCGTTAGGTAGTTTACACCAAGTTTCCATTTTTCTTGGATAGTGCTCGTCGGCTTCAAGAAATGAAGAATGAATCGTGACCATGTGAACAGTCCACGATCCTCATTTACGTTTCACTGTCCACTGCAGCCAAGAGTCACAAAAGCAAAATTGAAAGTCTGCTCCGTGTGAACGTAACTTAAGAAACGTCAAGTCTATATAACGAAATTAAGATTAATCATTTAAAAATGCAACTTTTTTACTTATTATCATAAATAGGCTGCGATATGGGATTATAACGTATAAAGTATAATGTCTACGAACTTGACAATTACCTAAAACTAGATATATTAGGCAGATTTTTTTCTGTTACATTTCACTTTTGTATCGAAAAATAACCCCTCGTCGAAATAAAGAAATATGCTATACCAACCTTTTCAGTGGAAAAAGGTATCCAAATAAGTAATAAATGTAGTTAACCATCGTCAATGCAACATCTACATCTATCGCAATATCGGAACATACTGTGTAAAAGAAACATTTCTGAAATATATATGTGGTGCAGATTTTCTTTTGGAGTAATGTTTGTGCCACCCAGTGTATGTGATTTTGCAATTTTTGATAAGACACCACTGTAGTAAGAACGGAAATAGAAATGTAAATAAATATGCACACGCTATTACACACCCTGTACGGAATCCGCAATACGCTGGGTACGGAAGGTCCAACTTGGGAACCCTGTACCTCAAAAACCACTCGTGGTAAACTTTGGGCCCAAGTTGAGATCTACAACATACTAGATTTTTGAAAAAAATAGCTGAAAGCCATTTTTCATAAGCTTTCTGCATGGACTTTTGATATTAGTTTATACGTTCATATTTTCAGATGCCATGTTCACCGCATGGCGACTGATAATGAGAAAATAAAAAGACAGACACAAAAATAGCTAATAGATCCGCAAACATTAAAAGTTTAAATTACAGCACTTGTACATCGTAAACTGACAAACTTACCCGTGTAAGAATGGTGACCTCTTAGGCAGGTTTTCCTCCACATAACAAATGGAAACTGATTTTCGACCTCTGCACATCAAACTATATAAAGCAAATTTATCTTATTTCCTTCTCCATGGCAGATGTGGGGAAAATATGAATGACTTATTATGTCTAACAGGTTTACCACTGAGATCAACAGCTTCTTAATAATTAGTCTTTCACTGATACCGAATATGCAATAATTAAATTCCTCCAAATAATGTTTGGAGGAAGCAGGAATCTCTGAAACATTGTAACAGCATGTTCCAGCAATTTTACCTTCGCCGCATCTGAATCAATTTTTAAAATCTACGACTACCTCAACGATGGAAGTATTAAGCTCGTGATAATATTCGAACTTCGGTTCACAAGTTTTGTGTTGCTTAAAGATATCTGCATCACACAAGTCCGTGTTTCTCGTTCATGTCGATTCATATCAGTCCGCGTCTGTTGTATATCAATGCATACAATTACTGAATCAATCTACTTGACGAAGTATTCAGAGAACCACCATAGACGGAGCAACACAAATCAAGGGTTAGACAAAATAGGTAGAACATTTAAGGGTCATAAAATTCATAAAAATATGTGTAGATATAAAAACTGTTAAGTCATCATTTACACAAGCAACTCCTAATATACAAATATTGCTAAAATATATAAATATTTCTCCTGCAGCGGTGTGTCGGTGACCACACCACCGCAGATCAGTTGGAATTTGTTACCCTTTACACAGTCGGCAGTGGACTCCACAACGATGCTGCATCGCGCCGTGCACGTAACACTAACGATTTCCAAGTTATTTTGAATTAAAAGCAGATACATACATCGGAGTTTTATCATTTAATTTTCCCGTTGTTAAGAGATCAGAAACTTCCTAGTGATAGAACGTCTTTGACCAATACTAAAGACGTTACATTAACAACCCCCTACAACCTCAACCCCTAAGTTTCAACCCATACAAAAAAATTTCCGAAAATAATCTGAAACGAGAAAAAACGAAGTATAAGCGATTTTAATTTTGTCGTGTTTTTGCCCCTAGCTCCGCCACCACTAGACCGATTTTCAAAAACTACAAAACCTTCTCATCCTTGGCATAGTACTCGTAGTACCCTCGTGTGGAAATTTCATCAAAATCCGAGCGGTACTTCCCAAGTTATAGGCGGTAATAAAATTAGCGGACAGACCGACGGACCGACAGAGTGACGAAAATGCGTGACATGGTTTTTCGTGATATACATGTCCTATAACATCCACAAAACATGATACCTCGCCAGTTTTGGCATATGAACATCTGAGATACCTATCATCTACAAAATGTCAAAGAACGTACTCAAAGCATTGAGCAAAATGCATTGTTGTTCTGAGCTTAAACAAACTCTAGATACTTTTTTATACAGAATAGAAGTTTTTCATTTTCGTTAAACGAATCTGGCACCTCTCTCATTTTTCTATCGTTTTCCGATAGCTAACGGATTATGTTTACGGTTCCGTCCCCCAAATGGAAGTACCAACACTGCATCACCGCATGTCACTTAAAAATTCGCTACTTACACTCTTGGCTGTTAAATTATAGCTTTAATTAAATGAACCAATTTGACGATTAGGCTATTTATCTTTTTTGTTTGATCGTTTGGGAATGTAAACGACCGCGAGAGACAATTTTATAAAGATTGAGGCTGAGCGCTAACCGCTGAAAGGATAATTTTAAATGTGCACTTAAAAGTTTGGTATTTTTGTGATGATAGGTATAGAAATTTAGAATCGACATCTAAAAGAAAAACGCATAATTTCTTAAACTGGTCAATTGTTTTGAAATGTTGCTGGTAAACTACTTATAACATATTGGCCAAATTTTCCTTTGAGATGCGTTCTTGTAGCTTTGTCTATTAAAGCAATAAATTCAGTGTTCGTACTAACTTTAACGTATCATTTTGAGAAACTTTAGTACTTAATTCAAGGTTGTTAGCCCTTATTGGTTCTTAATCACTAATGTGTCATTATTCGAATTGACTACAAAATGACCATACATGATTTGGCGCCCACTTGCATTACCCCTCGGCCAATAATGCTGATGTCTTTACGTTTCAATAGCCATTACTTATAGGTTCGGGTATGTGAATGTGAAGAACTTTTTTTTCTTGCCTTTTTCATCTTTTTGGTAGTAGGTACGTTCTGCCAAAAAATTTAATATCTCAGATCTGAAAAATCTTAGAGGCATTAGTATTTTACTCAACGACGATCAAAAAATATAGACCTTTACATTCATTCATAAAATGTGTTTCTGAATATTGACAAGATAAACAACAAAAAAATGTCTGCCGCTGGGAGAACGGAACTGACAGTTGTCAACTAGCATGGGCGTATCAAGGGCGGGGTAACGGAACGTGCGTTTGAAAGGTATTTTGGTAGGGTTTTCAAAAAATGTTAAACATTACAAAGAATGTAAGAGTATGAGGTATACTGCATTGAAATAACATCTCATTCAAATGAATTGTTCATACTATCACAGAATAAAATAGCATGTTTGTAGAATAAATAATGAAATGCAAACGTACCTCTCATTAGTACAACTGTATCAGTGTTAATAAGAGCACAGAGCCAGCAGAATTGAAGAAAAAAATGATTGTCATATAGATATCTTTATTATAAATTGAACTATACTGTATTATGGAAAAGTATAATTAACATTAATAAATTAAAGACATCAACAGAATAGCTTATTAATCCTAGAGTACCAGTGGTGTCCCCACTGTTACGTGACTCCATCACTGCCATTTATACTTATTGCGCTAAATTGGGATTAATACTGCAAAAAAAATATCTATAACCCCTTAAAAAGAGCTTATTATTATTAAAGTGTGGTAACAACCACATGATGAGTGCCACTGGTAGTCCAGGGTTAAAAGATAGATGTCAATTAAAATTAGCATTACATAATTGAAAACTATTTGGTCAACATATAACAAAGATAATATTATTGATGACAAAATAATACTGCCTTTGTATATTCACTTCTAATTCTAGTTTTCGTTGAACTATCAGATTTTTTAACAGCTTCATGGTGAATTCTGAGCGAAAAATACTTTTTGTTTTAGGTTTGTTTACTACCAGTTTACCACTTCTATCAGCGAGTGAATGGCAACATTGCAATTCCCTAATATTTATGGTTTCAATAAGTTTTAGTGTAAATAGAAAGGTCTATGTCTTTTTATCGTCGTTGATTTTAGTAGAGCGTGCAATGAAGGAGCACGTGTCTCATCACTTGTCATGATTTTCATTACCACCAATTGTACAGTCTAGTTTTAGGAAAAATCATAGCTGTACAGCATCTCTCCTCCATGTCACAGACAGTATATTTTAGAGCTACATATCGTGGTGTGTCTACGGTTCTTGTTGTACTTATCAGATGTTAGCAGAGCGTTTGATACTCTAAGGGCCAATTTCACCATCGTTAATCAGTTTGGACCAATGGGAAAAGACCTTATTGACATGCAATTTGACGGAAGCTGTCAAAGCTCTTTGAATATCAGTTATTTCTATTGAAATATTGAATAAAGTCGTGAAAAACGATTTTATTATAAGCAAGAGCACTTTTTGATTCCAACATGATGCTTTTGTACAGAGAAAACAGGTCATCTTTCATGTATTTTGCTTTTCCTTATAAACTTACATTTAACAAACCATTAGCCAATGGGAATGCGGCAAATAACAGATCGATTTTCTAGCTGTTACATTTGATAGCACGTTTGAACGTTTGTTATTGCATGGCAATCTCGAATTTGTTAATATACTGAGTGTTTATATGTTATCATTATAGCTACATACCTGTTGAAATATGCGGATTTGTTTGTATTTTGCATGAAAAAGAATATAAGACGTATTCCGACCAATTCCTCATCATTCGTTACATCATAGCAATAACCATTTATTATCAATTTATGGGTCAATGAATTTCTTCGAAGCAATCAAAACAGTATGTACTCTCCATCCTAAAACACCGGTATCTGTAAAATGTGTCAATCCCTACATCTCCATGGTGCACAATGGTGCATAATGGAATTACACAAAACATATATACCGAAGAAGTTTAATTACACGGTCCCCGCTATTCAAGGGCAACTCGCCTTTTTATATGGAAATTAATTTTTCCAAAATACCATTTTCCAGCAATACCTCGACGTCTAATATCAGCACAGAACAAGTGACGATCGGAGAATAGATCACAGGAGATTGATTATCGATCACAGGACGGAATTGATGCGAATTTTGACACCTCTGAGTTGCCATACTTCGCCACCTGAGAGGTGTATGGTCACATCGTGGTTGACTGTGATTTGAAATAGATTAACATGTGAATTATACACGCTAGAGATAAAAAGTCTTATAACATTGAAAATACAAAAAATTAAAAAGGTATATTTACTTAAAATGAGTGAATAAATAATAACATAAACAATAAATAATCAAAAACAACAAATGAATAAAATTAGTAACTGAAACGGTATTTAATAAAACACCATAATAAATGAAATATGTATATACAGGGTGGCCCATCCCTGTGTGGGCGGAATATTACTCATAAACAAATACATTTTGGGAAAATCTATTTATTGCATGTTATACATGACACTTAATGGCACCTTTATAATATATATGCAATAAAATTTGAGGCATATCATTTGAAAAATCACAACTTTGATATATAGGTCGAAATTGGGACACCCTGTATAATGGCCAATATTTTAGAAATGTGCCATCAAATGTCATGTATAACATCCCAGAAATAGATTTTCCCAAAATGTATTTGTTTATGAGTAATATTCCGTCCACACATTTATGGGCCACCCTGTATATAAAATTCAAAATCAGTCAACCACGATGTGACCATAGTATACACCTCTCAGGTGGCGAAATATGGAAACGCAGCGCATCCAGTCCATCCTGAGATCGATAATCAATCTTCTGTGGTACATTCTCCTTCTCCAACGTCACTGTAGTCTATGTTTTGTGGTCACTTGTTGTGTTAATTGATGTCCAGGTATTTGTGATAAATGAAACTTTGGAAGAACAAATTTCTGTATAAAAAGTGCTCCGTCCAAGATTTTTTTGTGCAGAATTACATATTACACTGTCGTGTACACTTTAAATCTGCAATAACCAACAAATACGTGGTTATGTTGAGTGCACCATGTACCATTACCGATGGTGCGACTGATTATAGACTGAAATCAAAACAAAAAACTGCTACTGCAATTGTAAGTACGAGGGATGTCTTTTAAGTTTTGCATATAGAAACATAGTAGGCCGCGCGGATCGAACATCCGTACTGAATCTTAACCTCACTGTTTAGTAAACTTAAATTCAAAGTTTCACAACGATACGTGCAGTGTTCTCACTACAGTTAATTTTTAAGTGTCACCAAGTCATTAGAAAAATGGAACTCAACCGAGAACATTTTCGCGCCATAATTTATTACAACTTTTAGAGACAATGATCGCAACAAGAATGCCTTGCTGAGTTACTGTCTGTTTTCGGCAACGAAGCGCCACATCAGTCGACACTTTCTCGTTGGTATGGAGAATTCAGGCGTGGACGGATGAGTCTTAGCGACGATCCCAGGGTGGGTGCAACAAAAACAGCAGTCACCCAGGAAAACGTCGATGTTGTGCGCAAACTCATCATTGAAGATAGACATGTGACATTTCGCGAGATTGAGGCGTCCTTGAAGATCTCAAAGACCTCAATTCAAAAAATTTCACATGAAGAATTAGGAGTAAGAAAATTAGTTTCTCGTTCGATACACCACCTGTTGACTGAAGAGCAGAAAGCAGCCAGGGTTAATTGGTGTCAAAAAACGCTTGACCGTTTCAATCCCGGAAACTCAAAAAATGTGTACAGCATTGTTAGTGGTGATGAATCGTGGATTTACTGTTATGAACCAGAAAATAAACGACAATCGGTTGTTTGGGTGTTCCAAGGTGAAGAAAAGCCAACGAAAGTCATCCGTTCTCGAAGTGTTTCGCAAAAGGTGGTCGCGACATTTGTGTCAAAAGCGGATCATATTGCAACAATTCCTCTTAATGAGCAAAGAACTGTTACTGCGGATTGGTATACCACCATTTGTTTGCCAAAAGTCATCTCCGAGCTTCGAAAAATCAACCCCGAAAGAAGAATCATCCTCCACCAAGACAATGCAAGCTCGCACACAGCTCAAAAAACAAGGCAGTATTTAACGGAAGAAAACTTCGAATTATTGGACCATCCTCCATATAGTCCCGATCTAAGTCTTAACGATTTCTTAACTTTCCCGAAAATTAAAAACAGACTGCATGGTCAAACGTTACAGTCACCAGAAGAAGCAGTTGACGCATTCAAAAATGCAGTTTTGGATCTGCCAGCAAACGAGTGGAATAAGTGCTTCGAAAATTGGTTTGAGCGCATGCAGATGTGTATTAATCTTCGTGGAGAATACTTAGAAAAACAATAAAGTCATTTAAAACTACCTACCGTGTTGTTTTATTTCCATATGCAAAACTTAAAAGATATTCCTCTATGAATGCTGAAAATCTTGAACAGTTTCGGACCAGTGGTGTCAAAATGTAGTTGAGGAAATGGAAAGAAGTGTATGAATGTGTTGAAATACAACACCTAACAAAAATTTGAGTGAAAAGGCTTTTTCATGTAAGGGTTCCGAAGTGCAAGTTTGCAAATGTGGGATAAACTATAAACACACGGTAGGTGATGTGACGTTATTATAATCACATATGGTTTATAAAAGTTGCAATAAACATGGAGAAACCTTCAGCTAAAATGAAAAAATGGATTTTACTCAGACATCAAGCATTCTTTATAAATTTTAGCTCAATTTTATATAATTTCATAATATTTAATAAACCGATAACTTTTCAATGACAAGCTATCACTTCATACTTTACAGTGCTTTGTTTTGAATACTTTTATGCTATTTGCTGCCAAAAATCTGATGGAGAGATCTTGAGGCTAATTGGGTATATTTGACGGTATGTTTAGTACTCGAACCCCATTGGTGGAAAATAATGGTTTGTTAGATTGTGAAATTGGCCCTAAATCATCAACTCATGCTCGCTATCTTACACATCGGTCTCTCCAAAAACGCTATAATGTATTTGGATGCTAATTCACTAATCGTAAGCAAAGAGTTGTGCTATTGGAGTTCAGTCTCTATCTTTAACTTTACAATTCGGCGTACCCCGAGGTTCCATGCTTGGACCATTTTTATTCCTAATTTATACATTCAATTTCTCAACCTATTTTAATTAGTGTAAGGTCCATTTTTACACTGATGACACCCCAAATCTATTAAAGGTTCCGTCCAGAAATGATGGCTCATTTATCTATGATTATAAATAATGAAATAAACTCTTTTGTGGAATGTGCATAATGCCACTGTGTTTCAATAAATCTATCAAAGTCTCACATAATAGATCTTGGACCAAAAAATTATGAAAATACAATAGAGAATTCCGTTAAAATTGAGATAAATGGTGTGACTCTGAAGATAAAACTGAACTTAAAATTATATTCTGTGATACTTCCTTTGGTATTATCATTATTTAACTACACTGATGTGCATTACCGTCCACATTAAACTAATCTGTATCTACGTAAAATTCAAATGGTACAAAACGTACGGAGGCAATGAATATCTCACAAATCGAAAGATGCAGGTTGGTTAAATTTGGAAAATCGTAGACTCATCTATTCAGCTGTTTTTTTTATCATAAATTAATGTGTTATAACATCCCAATACCTCTGTCAAAAAATAACTTACCGGAGTGATGTTCATAACATTAATTTAAGAAATAAGTCCTGTCACCCCCCATGTTCAAAACTTCAGCTTTTAAACGAAACTTCATATATACTAAGCGACACAACATGTAACAGCCAGAATTATTCATTGAATTTTGATAAAAACTTGTAAATATATTTGCTATCATGGAAGTATACGCTGATAAAATGTTGAAGGTTTTCCAAGCCATAATTTTTTTGTAAAGGCCTTTTTTATCCTATCGGGATTCGAATAATATGGTTGGTTCCTTTTGTTTCATTGCACTATCATGCCTAGGGTTCGTAGACGCGCTAATTTCACTCAACTTTCTGAGCTTGAAAGGAGTCGGATAATCGGGTTACGTACAGCTGGATTTTCTTTTAGAGAAACCGTTCGTCAGGTGAATCGAAACAAAGCTACTGTAATGAGATGGTGCCGAGCGTGGTTGAAGGAAGGCCGAAATCGACGAGTTAGAAGTACTGGACATTAAAGACAGACTACTGAGCAACATAATCGTTATTTAAGGCAACTAGCACTTAGAGATCTATTTTCCACAGTTGCAAACCAGTGGTTTGATGCTGTCGGAAGGGCAATAACAACGAGGACAGTTTATCGCCGAATAAGGTCCTTTGGACTGTGTTCACACCGTTCCCATCTTGTACTACCTCTGACCCCACATCATCGTTGGCAACGATTGCTATGGAGTAGGGAGAGACTTGAATGGAATATGGAATGGAACTCAGTCGTGTTCAGCGATGAGTCCAGATTCTGTTTGGGTAGACATGATGGCCGTGAAGAGTAAGGAGGAGACGTGGTGAAAGACGGAACCTCCAATATTCCATCGAACATCCATTCATCGCACTGTGAGTGTTATGGTAGGGTGCCGTTGCTTACGGCAGCAGGTCACGATTAGTGTTCATTGGAGGTAGTATGATTGCCCAGCGCTATATCGACGAAGTTTTACAAACACATCTGCTTCCCTTTTTGGAAACATTGCAAGATCCAGTTTTTCAGTAGGACAATGCACGACCTCTTGTCGCACGTGTTAGTTTAGACCTTTTAGAAGCGTCCGGAGTAAATCTGCTTCAGTGGCCTCCTCGATCTCCAGACCTTTCTCCCATCGAACATGTATGGGAAATAATGGTTGTAAAATTCACCGCACCCTCCACAAACATTGGAGGCTCTTCGAAAACAAATTCAGATTGCCTAATTCAATCAATGCCGCAACGACTTAATGAATGTGTAGCGGATGGAGGAGCTTCGACACATTATTAACATTAAGGTGCGATATCTCAGCTATTTTGAGAAATTTCAAGTTAAAATTTCAACCACTTTCTATTTGTCAGTAGACCTAAAACTTCTACATGTATGCTCTCCTAGTCGGTGTTGCATTTTTTATGTCATTTAGTTTATAAAGCCATGCTTATGAAGGAACTGCTGCAAAAACAGTAACACTGCAGGAATCATTTTTTCATGAATTTTGGTATATCGCTTTTAACAATAAGTTTTATGTGTGTCTCGGATTTAGTTTTTTTACCAAGCAAGCTGAACTTAGTCCTTTATTGACTGAATCAATTATCATTTTACTTCGCTTTTTCTTCCTCGGTAATTACACACGTAGTATCGAAGATCCATACCTGCCGGTACAGTAAGAAGCAAAAAAATATAAGCAGATAACCACATTCCTTGGTCCCACCAGTAGTCACTTCGAAATTTGTACCTGCCGGGTAAAGACGTGTTTACGTGCGTCGTGTGAAATTGTTATACGTTTGAAATGCCAAAAAGACAGAGTGGTGGTAGTGATCATAGTGGTCCTAGAAGGAAGAGGGGGAGGAAGTATGATAGAATCTTGGATGAATTAAAACGGCTCAAAAACAAAATCACAAGGGATTCTACAAGCGACAGCAGCTCTTGCTTTTCTGATGATGACCAAAGTAAGTGTTTTGAGGAATCTGAAAGCTAGAATGTTCGTTGTGCAATTTTTCTATTGTACGTTTAATTCGTAAAATATACACGTAGTCGTTATACTAAGGAAAGAAAATTTTGCCGTTATGCAAAAGAAGGTCACCTTGTCCTTCTAGATAATTTTGTCGTTATACAAAATGTAAACGAAGAACTTTTTTCGTTCTTTCTAGACATATCTGGTACTGAGATGATGAATCAAATTATTACTGAGGCCGAAATTCATCCAATACCTTCTGGCTTTGCTGTTTCAGCGGGTGTTCCGCCAGAAAATATCGATGCATCTGGGGAATTTGAATTTTTGGGAGCAAAACCGAAATCAAAAAACACTACGTCGCAACCACTACACACAAAATTAACTGTACGTTGGAATGCGTTTCTACAAGATGGTGTCGATAAAGAGTGCTGTGAAAAAATAATGGAGAAGTACCCCCTTTTTGAAAATTGCCCCTTAATGAAATCACCAGTGCTCTCTCCAGAAGTTGCTTGATGCCTGGATGACAAAACATTACGCCAAGATAACTTTATGAGAAAGATACAGGAGCAAACGGCCCATTCTCTGGCTATTTTAGGAAGCCAATTAAATAGTTTACTATCAAACAACCCCAATGGTTCGAAAGAACTAGCAGCTAGCTTAGCAGATGCAGCGCAGCTGACCTGCAATATACATCATGCTATATCTACACATAGGAAATATAATATTTTACCTTCAGCTCGGAAGCTAGCGGAAACATCTAAAACAGATGAATTTTTATTTGGCAAAAATTTTGTAGTAGATTTGAAATCTTTAGATGCTGCGAAAAAGGCCAGTTTTGAACTTAAAGCTAATAGAGCCCGCCTGTTTCAAAAAGCTCCTCTTATCTCAACCAACAAACAACAGCCTATAGCGTACAATCGCCAGAATTATCCCGATTTTCAAACCAAGAATTTAAACTGGAAGCGCCAGCCTCAGAAGTCCAGAAAGAAAGATCCCCGATCAGGAGTGAAGAAAGAACACCACAGACGCCGATATTAATCGAACAACAGGTCAGTGTTGATTGTAATCTGTATCCGGGCCGACTGACACACTTTTTTCGTCGATGGGAAAACATCACTAATGATAAGAAGATATTAGACTGGGTTAAAGGAGTTGTTATACCCTTTGTCACTTTCCCACGGCAAACTTCAGTCAAACATGTCAATATTTCGTTAAATGAATTACAGGCTTACGACCTGGCAATTAGAGAACTGTTGAGACCAGGTGTTGTTTCACAATGTCAGTATGAACCTGGTGAATTCATATCACCTTACTTTTTGATCAAAAAGCCAAATGGGAAATCCAGATTTATCTTAAATCTCAAAGAACTCAATAAATTTATAAATGCTCCACATTTCAAACTGGAGGACTATCGTAGTTTACTAAAATTTCTATCACATGAGTCCTATTTGGCAAATATTGACATGAAAGATGCATATTATATGGTAGCAATCAACAATGATTATAAAAATATCTTAGATTTATTTTTAATGGAAAACGCTATCAATTTAATTGTTTACCATTTGGGTTAAATATAGCGCCATATATATTTACCAAACTTTTGAAACCACTCGTTTCAGTGCTAAGGAAAACTGAGAATCTATTGTTTGTTAGATATTTAGATGACATTTGTATAGTCGAGTCAACCAAAGAAAAGTGTCAAAAAGCCGTTAAATGCTGCATTACGTTGCTCGAGTATTTGGGCTTCAAAATTAACGACAAAAAAAGCATGACAATGCCGACCTTCGTAATAACGTTTTTAGGATTTACATATAATACGGCAAATATGATCTTTTATTTGCCCGAAAATAAAAAAACAGGATTTGAAAGATTCATTACAGAAATTTAAAAATAAAGATAAATGTTCAATATTATTCCTTGCACGGCTAATAGGAAAATTGGAAGCAGCTTGTCCAGCCGTAAAATATGGATGGGTGCACCTGAAAAACTTTGAAAGAGAAAAGTATATGGCATTGAAAAAGTTTAATAAAAATTACAAAAAAGTTATTGGTGTACCTGAGTACTTGAAAGAAGACATCGATTGGTGGATTGATAATATAGATAAAACATCTCAAAGTATCAATAACAACCAACACTTCGTTTTGGAGATATTTTCGGATGCTTCTACCTCTGGTTGGGGTGGGCATTGCAATGATCTCTCCATACATGTATTTTGGTCCCAGGAGCAAAAGAAGCATCATATTATTATTATTTTTAGCTACTAGCTGCACTTTTTGCACTAAAGTCATTCGGTAAGAATTGCAAAAACTGTGATATTTTATTGAGAATAGACAGTAAAACTGCCATAGCTTGTATAAATAAAGGAGGCAGCATCTGTTTCAGTAAATTGAATAATATCACTAGAGCTATATGGGACTGGTGTGAATCGAAAAACATCAGAATCTTTGCCTCCTATATTCCATCCAAAGAAAATACACATGCTGATTTACAATCAAGATCTCTATCAATTCAGACGGAATATGAGTTGAACAACAAAGCTTTTCAGTCAATTTGTAAGAAACTCGGAAAACCTGAAATCGACTTATTTGCAACTAAATTAAATGCTAAATGCAAAATATATGCTTCCTGGGGCCCAGATCCTGACTCTACGTATATAGATGCATTTACAATAAAATAGAATTTGTTTTTCTACGCATTTCCTCCATTTTGTTTAGTGTCCCAGACACTCAACAAGATTATGAAGGACAAGGCAACAGGGATTGTAATAGTGCCTAATTGACCAACACAACCCTGGTATCCTTTATTTATCAGACTGTTAATATCCGATCCAATCGTGTTAGGTCATAGAACAGATTTGCTTTCTTCTCCTTTCAGGACATTTCATCCACTACACCAGAGGCTTACATTGGTTGCCGGGAAATTATCCGGAAATCAATGATTAAGAGGGGCGTTCCAGAAGAGGTTATTCCTATTGTAACATCTATTAGTAAGGGCACCCTAAATCAGTATGACATATGTTATCGGAAATGGTGGGAGTTTTGTGTTAATCTGAATTCTGATCCACTAACGCTTAATCTAAAAAATAATTTGTTGTTCTTCAAAGAACAGATGAATAACGAATTATCTTACTCTAGTCTAAACATATATAGATCAGCACTAAATCTTATCATTGAACAGTCACTACATGAAGACATAATAATAAAAAGATTTCTGAAGGGTGTATATAACCTTAGACCACCAATGCCAAAATACCAGTCCACTTGGGACCCTGAACCAGTACTGTCATATCTAAAAACACTCTACCCTCTTGATTCATTGACCATAGAACTCTTGACAAAAAAACTTGTAATGTTACTGGCGTTAGCTTCTGGTCACAAGCACAGACCGTATCCAAAATTTCGCTAAATAAAATTTCAAAAGTAAAAGATAGGATCGAAATAAAAATTAGTGAAAAAATAAAGACCTCTGGAAGAAACAAACTTCAACCTGTTTTGATACTTCCTTACCTTAAAGAATGCCCTGAGCTATGTGTAGGTTCAGTGTTAGAATACTATATAGAGAAAACCAAAGAGTACAGAGAATCTAATACTTACCTTATATTAACGCATAGGAAGCCCATTCATCAAGCTACATCACAGACAATAAGCAGATGGCTTAAAGATGTATTGAAAGCTAGTGGCATAAATACAGAAATTTTTAGTGGACATAGCACTCGTCATGCCGCGACATCTGCGGCATCTCGATCAGGAGTTAAAATAGACACTATTAAAACTGCGCTGGTTGGACCGCAAAATACTGATGTGTTCTTTAGATTTTATAATCGCCCAATAATAGAAAATCCTATTACATTTTCAAAAGCTGTACTCAAAATTAATTAGAAATGTTGGTGGTACCGCTTTTATCCTTTTTGTAGAATTTATAGTTAAAAAAATATGTTATACTTCTTGTTACTGTTAATTGTTATTATTACTAAGTATGTACATGTGTGATTGATGTTTATGTACAAAAGACAGATATGATTGAAGTTATTATTTGTATCAAAATTTATGGAAATTAAATCACCTTAATACGTAAACTGAAAATATATTTTATTTCAGATATTCAAATCGCACATCTTTCTTTAAACAGCTACGTGTGTAATTACCGAGGAAGAAAAAGCGAAGTAAAATTGATAAGTTGATTGACTTACCTGTAAGGAAGATCAACTTTAATTTTGCGAGCTTTTTCTTCCGAAGGTAATTACGTCCCACCCTCCCACAACCCGTGCGATTTGAAACCCTATAGACAAATTACGAAGTGACTACTGGTGGGACCAAGGAATGTGGTTAACTACTTATCTTTAATTTTTTTGCTTCTTACTATACCGGCAGGTATGGATCTTCGATACTACGTGTGTAATTACCTTTGGAAGAAAAAGCCCGCAAAATTAAAGTTGATCTTCCTTACAGGTAAGTCAATCAACTTATCAATTTTGCTTTATTTACCACTTTGTCAATTTATGTTACTAATAAAGGTGGTTATTATTATTATTTCGAAAAGAGGCTCTGGAGTCGGCCATTTTGATTCGTTCTACAAAAAATGCTTCAAAAGATCGATGTCGCTAGACGAAGTACCAACGGGATAATGATCGTTGGAATCAACTAATACATCTGAAACCTTCACTATACTTCTTATCATCTAAAACCCACGACCCATGATCTTTACATAAATTCATAGCTCGTTATAAAACAATATGGCAAAGCTGAACATCTGAAAACATTTCATCCTAAAAAGCTGTACCAATTAAAAATCTATTTCCGTTGCCTACCAACCCTCGGCATACTAATTGGCCTAATGCGAATATATTTCATTTATGAGCACCCACTATAAATGCTACTGTGCTCCGAGAGACTCGACTCGACACTCTTCACAGCCTCATTTTTAAGTGTTTTAAGTGCTGTTCATTCTCTCAGTGCCCGCTGCCTTTTTATATAGGCTCCAATTATAAACGGTTTTCAACAGGAGTCAAAACATTTAGGGGAGACTTGATCGTTTATATGTACATCATACGAGTCAAGCAGTGCATCGGGATGCTAACCGGGTCTTGTTAGGACACTTTTCGTTCCTATCACGTTTTTATTCACTTCCACATTTTTTACATCATACAGCATGAATCAAGAAATAATGGCGACATTTCTAGAGCAGAAAAATCTCCCAAAATGAAAAATTCCTATAAAAGTTGGTCCTAAAATATCCCACTGACGGCACCAATAGGTTACTTGACTCATATCTAATTTATTAGAATAAATGAGTATTTCTTACAGTATTTGGCTCAGGAAAACAAAATATATCGATTTCAGTTTTTAAAAGCGGAAGATGGATTTAAGTCCAATTTAAAAAAAAATATATTTTATTTTTAATACGAAACGGTGAAACACTGTCGGCCATTATGTGTCGTCATACAAATTGTAAACAAAGTTACGTCATCCGAAGTTATTCGTGGACTAGCGTTGTCTTCTTTAAATATTTCTAGAAAACCCTTAATCAACCTTAAATTCATTTACTCGTTTTATTGAAAAGAACAATCATGGACGTGGGATTCGTAAAAGCAGAAAGCACAAATTTGGCGAGACTTGACTCGTTGATGGTTGGTAATTTTTTCGCCTTCTACCCAGATTTCTGCTCTACTAAGCTGAGAAACATCAAGACATGTATGTAAGTACAGTGAATCTGCTGTAATGATCTGTCTTGGCAGCAAATTGGTCGATCAGCTTCCCGTTGAAATTGTCTATGGTCGAAATGAATTCCATTTCAATGGACAGCATCGACAACGCTGAAAGCCGATCTCGGGTCATAGTATTTCGAAGAAAGGTCTTGATTCTTTTCAATGTTGAGAAATTTCGCCCTACCTCTGAAGTTGACATAGGAGTTGTAACAATAATTTCTAATAGATTTTTTGTTTCTTTTAGTGTTTCCTCCAAACTATTTTGTATCAAAAATTTCAAAAGAGACAGAGTATCATGTAAATCTCGGCAATCATTCCGTGATTAATAACAGACAACTCTGTCTTTAAACGACTTTTTTCTGATTCGGGATAAGCCACGCAATGATCTTTGAATTGAAATCTGTCATTTCCAGAATTCACTATATTGTCGCATACTTCTAATGCGGCAACTCGGTCATCGTGACTGCTATTATTACGTCGTCTCCTTTTGTTGCCTTGGGGTTCAGTGCAAATACTTTTGGTTTCATTTACGATGTCATCAATGTTATTTCTCACGTCGACAAAATGTTTTTCAAAATTATCGATAGCCGTTGTAACTTCCGCTGGCTCGGTTTTTCTCTTCTGCAACTGGTTGAACAAGATGTCGACGTGAGGCATGACATGATGAAAAAATGTCAACCAAAACACGAAAATAGAATCGTTCAACATACGGCGAATACCGCAAGCTGCCCTGTAAACGGTTTCATTAGTGAAATTTTCTTCTATTTCTTCCATGGATTCAATGAGTGGCTCTCTGTTCTCAAATACTACATTTATTGTTCGAATGTTAAAATTCCAACGAGTTGTTGCTCCTTGGGGATTTTTTTCCCCACAATGCTGTTCAGTTTCTCTACGCGTTGAGGAGAATTATTAAAAAATCCCGGCATATCTTTCAAATCCCCAAAGAACACCCGAACATTTGCGGAAGCAGCTTGGGACATAATCAGGTTTAATTGATGCGCATGGCAATACACATAGTGAGCAAATGGATATCTTTGTTTAATTTTTGCCTGTACTCCAGCATTATATCCGCTCATTACCGCGGCTCCATCATAGTTTTGTGAAATCAGTTTGTTAGGGAAATTTCCTATAAATGGATCTACGACGCTCAAAATATGTCTTGTGAGAGTATCAGCGTCACATTTTTTGGGATTCATATAATTCCAAAAACGTTCTACTGATTCGCTCTTAAATACGTATCTGAAAATTGTTACCAGTTGGGTTTTCCTCGAAATGTCCGTTGTTTCATCTGCTATTATCGCCAAATACGAGGCTCTGTTAATCTGTTTTATTATTTCTTCATGACAAACTTTAAGAATACAATCCAGTAGATCGTTTTATATTTCTTTCGAAGTTCCTTTAAATATTGAAGCTCAGCAGAAAAATTAATCAGTCCACGAAATATTCCCGGGTTTTGGGAGCTCTCGGTTTCGTCGTGGCCCCGTAGCGCCAATTCAAATGCTCCGCAAAATTTTATACAATCGATTATTTTTGATAGAACGTACCTGTTTTTTTGTAACGGTCTCACTATGTTGTTGTATATTTCTCCAATATGCTGATTCTAACTGAGCTGAGATGTTAATAGTCTTAATAAAGCCAATTCCATCGAATTATGAAGTTGTGTTTTAGAGTTTTCATGCTTCTTAATTTTTTCACTCAGGTGCACTAAATCTGTAACACCTACCTCCGTCCAAGCCTTGTCACCACCGAAAAATATGCAGGGAAAGCAGAAAAGGTCATTCTTCCTGTTTTGCACCCACAAATCCAGTCATTTCTGGTGTATATCTCTATGCTTAAATGCCGCGTATAGACCTTGCCCCGACTAACGCCCTGTGTTTCTATAAATATGTCCGGCAGCGGTCGACCTAATACCTTCAGCTCGATTTTTTCTTCAAATGTGTATTTCCAGAATCGTTTCAGGCTGATAAGTCTGTAAACCACATCCATTGTCTTGCACTACCCTTCTACACAGCCGCAGTCAGTTAGTGAGTCACTAGTCACTCAACGTAAGACCCTAAATACCTAAATAAAAATTGTTTCGCATTCGACCAATCAGCTATCGTACTTCACTTTAGATCTGTATGGCTCTGTATAACGTATTGTTTCTATTTGTGTGATAACATGGAAAATAAATAATGATCAAATTATTACTGCTTTTTTCTGTTAAGACAAAGGTTTTGGCAGTTCCGCAGCTCTGCAGAACTTAAGGGCCAGCCGTCCCTACCTACCGCATTATACAAGGTGTTACAATATTGTTATTTGCTTTAATAAAGAATAATTTTTCGTAGTCTTGAGAGGAAATTTTTAACCAACATACACGATATATATTTTTTAACATACTAAATTTGATATAAAGTATTTTTCATACTTTAAACAGAAAGGTGAAGGTCGTTTCTGATTCAGATCTTAGACTATAACCATAACAGAAATAAAAACCAACCTAAGTGCACATCTTCAATAAATTACCATGAGATATCAAACGTGATCATTATGTTCCGTCCTCGTCGAAGTAAATATTTAGTATATGTAGCGTAGTTCCCTTGTAGCTCACCTAACCCACGAGTTCAAAGCGTGCATGTCGCGAAATGAGCGACCTATCGTACCTGTCTATCACCTCTTCGGCCTATCAATTCTCATTCCCTGTTCTCGTGCCAAACGGATAACACGTCAATCGGGTTCGCGCAGCGATTTTTACGTTTTCAGCAGTGTCGAGGTGCGTAAACGTAAGAAATGTGCATTGTCGGCGAGACGCGGACGGACGGTTCTTATAGGTTCCCTCCTCATCAATGACAGAACTTTAGGTGTGGCGTTAAAGTAATGAGTTGGATTCGAGTGGTCAGTTACCATTTACCTGGCGACTAGTCCAGCACTCTGTCATAGCTGAATCTCATTAGTCCATCTATGAACTACCGACCTTCGACAGTATCTCAATTGCTTAGCTGCGGTACTATCAGTAAAAAAATTGAGCCAACTAAAAATCAGCGCCCATTCATCTTTTTCTGACCTCCAAGTCTGATGAGTCAACACGTTTGATTCCTTACCTCAAGACACTTAGTCTGTTTATAGGGATAGAATACTTACGTTAGAAGGCTATTGAAATGGGATCAGACTTCTCCATAGATATACTTTATTAACGAATCCGGATTTGGGATATACATTAGGGAGCGTCATAGAATATATTTCAGATTCATATTCAAGGGTCAGCTCTTCCAATACAATGCTGTACCGTTTAGGGTAAATTGTGCGCCACATGTGTTCACAAAGTTAATAAAACCATTTCTAGCATACCTTAAACAAAAAAAAAAGATGCTTGACC